ATAAGGGATCTTCCAGAAAAGGGCTTATCTTCCGCAAGATCACGTCTAGACTGGCGCTTTTCTCCGGCAAAACCCCGAGCTGGAAAAAAGCGGCAGCCACGTTCATGCAAATGCCGCGGGGGATATTTAAATCCCCCACGGCATTTGCAATTCTGAAGTGTCTCATTAGCATCCCTTTTACGGAAAAGGGTGCCAGTGTAGACACAGCCTATGTGTGTTTCCAGTTTCACCTAAACCAGTGCACCCTGAAGTTAACGGTGTGAGGATCCAATCTTGCTTAGCAAAAGTGTGCAAGTTCCTCTCCACTTTGACTGGGGGGATAAAACAGGTAACAAAATCCTTTTACACGGTGTACTGACCAGGGTTAGGTTTTGAGTATTTTCTCCTTCTTCCCTTCCTTCCTCCCTTAATTCCTATTTCCTTCCTTTCTTCCTTCCTCTCTATCATTTAGCATTCATCTTTTATATATTTACTACATACTACTTTATAAAAGCTTGATATTATAAAAAAATTAAAAAATCATGAAAAGTGGTCTTTTTTTCCAGATATATGTAAACTACTCTGCATGAGTCATCTGCATATAAATGCTCATTGCAACATTTGGCAAGGGGTTGAAATATCTGGTGAGTGCTCCTGTGTCTTTTCCACTCCAAAAGTCTCAGTTTTCTATCTACTGTTATGAATATTGACTCGACATCTGGGTTCCAAACTCAGTCACACCTGAGCAATTCCCACATGGCAAGATATTGCAGTTGACACAGTTGTTTGTGAACGGCCTATTTCAGGTAGCCCTTAGGAGACACTCATCTCTCACCATCTGAGTCTCGGTGAGAACACTCCCGAGAGCCTGTAACTAAAGGTTGCTGGGATTTTCCAAGGGTGGTGATCAGGCCCCGTGTTTCTTGACTCTGTCTGGGGATGTCTGTATTTTTCCACCAACTTTTTTTTCAGAATCAGGTTTTCAGACAAAGGGTTCCTGCCCTGTGTCAAAGCTATATAAGGCTGGGCATGATCTCTTCAATTCCTCGTCACGCCACACACTAGAGGACTCCTGGAAAAACGTGACGAACAAAAGCCGAAAGGGGGGAAGTGCTGGTCACAGGGTTTGCTGGGCAGTTTATGGAAACCCAGCCTTCACTGCGAATGCAGCTTGTGCTGTGAGAATCTGCCATTGGACCGATATCATCAGTCAGGGTGAGAAACTGCTACCGTATGACCAATCTAACCACTGTGTAATGCCCAGTTTGCAGTTTGGGGTATTTGCTGCTAATCATCTCTGCTCTGTTTCCTAACCTTTATCATCACTTCTGCAGCAAATACATTTATTTCTAGCTTACCCTGCACCAGCCTGCTTCATAGGGATGTGTCTGGGGGGAAAAAAATCACAGTGTGGTTTTTTAGCGCAGGGTGCATATCCCCCTCCACAAGGAAGAAGCAGTGAACTGGATAATAAAATTTTATTGCTCAGTGGTTCGACCCGGCAGAACAGTGTTGCTCTGGGACTCTAAGCTGTGGTTGTAATGTCGACTGTAACGTCTCCCTTGCTGCTCCTCCGAGAGCCTGCATGTACCCAGTTCTAGGAGCAGAGTTAGCAACCTGCAAGAGGAGCCCAGACTGGTGGATTGGAGGAATCAGTGGAACCACCATTTTAGTTAGCACTATGGGGGAACCCATCATAATTGGGTTAGAGGAAAATATGCCTAAGAAACAGTCGTGAATGGTCCCCAGATTTAGCACATTAGAACAGCCGAACTAGGTCAGACCAAAGGTCTATCAAGCCGAGTATCATGTCTTCCAACAGTGGCCAATACCAGGTGCCACGTCATACCTCCCCGTATTCCTGTGCTATGCTATTATTGTTTTATAGCAATGACCTTGTCTGACACTTCTTATTTGGTCTCTTGACCATTTTTATGAAGAGCCAAAGTGGGAGAAGCAAATACCAGCCCAAAACCCACAAGACAAGCACTTCCGGAGAACAACGTTTCACAGACTGTGTGCGCATACCAGAAATAACAACGACACCGCATGCACATGAAGGGAGGTGAGCATGGAAGAGTTTGGGAGAGTGTGTCAGTCCGAGGCAGAGACAAAGTAAGTGTACAGATGTGAAAAAACCCCAAAGGTTCTCTGTGAGTGTGACACACAGACAGTGTGTGTGTGCTGGCGGTTGGGGAAGTCTGTAAGACCACCAAGTCTGAGGGCAGGAGCAGTGTGGCTTGATTTGTGCACAGCTGTGCTGCTTAGAGGAGTCATAGTCTCACAGTGTGAGAGAAAGACCGGAAAAGTGGGGCCAAGTCAGGCTGTCATCCAAGCAGGGATTTCGGAGGAGCATTGAAAGGTGACGGTCTCTACTCCCCTTGATTTTGGAAGGCAGTGGGGAACCTAGTTCCCTTGGGTTCCTTCCAAAATCCCAGCCAATGTCAACCAGCGGATTGAAACGTTTTTCACGTGTCAACTTAGGGGTCTTCTTGGCCAGCATTTTGAGTTGCCGGTCCAGAGATCAGACAGACCTGGCAGCTTTAGACAAGAATTTTGTAACGTCGTCTCATTTCATTATGTTCTTATTCTAAAGTATGAAAGATACTGCTTCCTTTTATTCCTATCATTCTAGTGGGTCTATTTATCAAATGCAAAAAAAATTCAGAGATTTCTAACGACAAATGTCTCCATTAATTTTCTTTGAAGTCAGACATTCCCCTTTGATCCTTTCATAGGAACAATATCATTCTACTATAATTTTTCCTTTCTAAAACTAAATAATAACTTTTCTATGTACAATAATTTCAAATTCCCACTACCAGAAATATCATGGAAGAATACATCGTCTCACAGGAATCACGTCAAAATACACCAGAAAAAAAGACAGACTTCAACGTAGGAACCCAAAGCTCACTTTTGTGATATAACTGAAGATGACCGATAGAAGGGGAAACTGGAAATTATAGGATAATGAAATTGACAAAATTTGTACGCATGTTACTCAGATCAGGAAGCAGTCTGGGGTGTGAGTTCATGGAATTTCTGTGTCCCTGAACTATATTTAACTCTTATATAGAATCACAGACTCATAGAACACTAGAATTTGGAAGGGACCTCAAGAGGTCATCAAGTCCAGTCCCCTGTCCTCACAGCAAGGCAAAGCACCATCTAGACCATCCATAAGAGCTGTCTCTCGAACCTGCTATCATAATCAGGAGGGCTGACCAGCAGCCTGGTGGCTAAGGGGTTAACCTAGCCAGGTATTTGGTCAGTCAAGAACAATTCAGGTAGGGATTTCAAACAGGGACAAAGGAAATTTTATTTTTTCCCTCGTTTGTCTGGGTCACAGCAGTTTCCTTTCAAGTAATGGAGATGGGAAGGCCTGTCTCTCTCCAAGAAAAGTCTTCTCACAATGTGTAAGTAGGGCAAAGTTTAGTTAGCCCATCAGGTTTTATTATTTTCTTGGGCATTTGGAAGTGATGTCTGTGCTGTTAAAAGTGTTTTTTTCTCTCTTTTTCTCCCTCTTTTGTAATGAAGCTTTCTAACCTAGGGAATTTTCTCTGAGTATTTCAACTGTTGGCTCTTATCATCTAGACACCTCAACTATACTTGCAATGGTAGTTTGGTGTTGATAATAAAAGCTTGTTTTCTTTTTCTAATTAATACATATTAGTTCATTCTTATGTCCTGGAAGATCTGTCTGCTTGTCTGTCTGCTGAGGGGTCAGCTATCACAGACTGCAGCTTGTTTTTCTCTTTTCTCTTTTTTGGGGGGGAAAAGAGCTTGGGGTACCCCTGAGGCTTTAGGAAGATTTCCCAAGTGATCTCCCCCCTGGTTTTCTTGGAATACTTGGGTGGCGGCAGCAGATATTCCCCAAAGTCTGGGTATTAGGATTTTGGGGGGAAGGTTTTGTACCAAAGCCTGGAGAGAGAAGCATTGGGGATGCTTTTGCGGGTCTGCACTTCTGCATTTGTCGTACCACAGTGGGGAACAGCCTTGACACCTGCAGATAAATATTTCCAGTGATAGAGATACCACAACCCCCCTAGGTAATTTATTCCAGTGTTTCACCACCCTGAGAGGCAGGAAGCTTTTCCTAACGTCAAACCGAAAACTCTCTCGCTGCAGTTTAAGCCCATTGCTTCTTGTATTGTCCTCAGAGGCCAAGGAGAACAATGTTTCTCCCTCCTCTTTGTGACAACCTTTTAGGTACCTGAAAACTGCTCTCATGTCCCCTCCTAGTCTTCTCCTTTCTAACAAGCCCAATTCCTTCTGCTTTCCCTCATAGCTCATGTTCTCTAGACCTTCCATCATTCTTGCTGCTCTTCCCTGGAACCTCTCCAATTTCTCCACGGCTGTGTCTAGACTGCATCCCTTTTCTGTAAAAGGGATGCAAATTAGACACATCGCAATTGCAAATGAGGTGGGGATTTAAATCCCCCCCGCTTCATTTGCATAAACATGGCTGCCTCTTTTTTCCGGCTCGGAGCTTTGCCGGAAAAAAGCACCAGTCTAGATGAGGATCTTTCGGAAAATAAAGCCTTTTCCGAAAGATCCCTTATTCCTTTTTGAACTGAGGCCTAATCAGTGCAGAGCAGGACTTCATCCATCAAGTAGGTTTTTCATTGACTCAGCTGTGACAGAGGACAGTGCAGGAAATTCGAAGGAAGACTCCTTCATTTCGAAATAAGTGCCGTGAAGACGCTCCCTATTTCAAAATTAGCTATTTCAAAATATGCTATGCTTATTTCTCGTTAAGCCCTGATGTGTAGAAACACCCTTGGATGGGATATTTCTGTAATGTAATGGGGCTCTGTGATTTTGGTCGCTCTATTCTGGCACTCAGCCAGTGAGTTGTAGATTTCCTCTGTTGATTGACAGTGCCATTGTTTCCTCATGCAGAGTTCCGGTGGCAAGGGGTTAGCCCATCCAGATGTCTGATAGTGGGATTGACCACACAACCGGATTCCTTGCGCTCCATCAATATTTCATGGCTTACTTTTTTCTAGATGCCTATTATGGAAGAAGAAGGAAGAAACCAAACTCTCATCCTCGAATTCATCCTCTTAGGGTTTGGGGAGGCCCCTGAAATGCAACCCCTCCTCTTCCTCATCTTCCTCATGATCTACCTTATGACACTGGCTGGGAACTTCCTCATCATTGTGCTAGTTGTCATTGATCAGCAACTTCACAGCCCCATGTACTACTTATTATGGAACTTGGCCTGCTTAGAAACTTGTTTCTCCTCCAGCATCCTGCCCCGGCTGCTGGCCAGTCTCCAGACTGGGGACAGAACCATCCCCGTGAAGGCCTGCCTGCTCCAAGGACTTTTCTTTGGTGTCATGTCTGCTACCGAACCGCTGCTGCTGACGGCCATGTCCTACGATCGGTATTTAGCGATCTGCCACCCCCTCCGTTACACTGCCCTGATGAATGGCTCCATTTGCATCCAAATGGTGGCGTGGTCCTGGATAAGCAGCTTTCTGGCTTGTGCCATAGTAGATATTTTCTTCTTCCAACTCAAGTTCTGCCATGGCAAAGAAATTGACCATTTTTTTTGTGATTTTACATCCGTGCTAAAGCTGTCCTGTGATGACACCCAGTTAGTCCAGCTGGTGGCATTTATTGTCGTTGTCATATGCATACTTGCACCCATGCTACTGACCCTGGCGACCTACGTTTGTATCATCACCGCCATCCTGAGAATCCCTTCCACCACTGGGAAGCTAAAGGCCTTCTCCACCTGCTCCTCCCACCTCATCGTGCTGACCATTTACTATGTGATGACAATTTCTGTCTATTTGGTTCCAATTGTCAGCACTGCAGCCATACCCAAAAAAATATTCTCTTTCATCTGCACAGTCCTGCCTCCTATGGTCAACCCGGTCATCTACTGCCTGAGAAACAAGGACGTCAAAGTGTCCCTGAGAAAAGCTCTTCAGAAACTGGTTGCTTTTAGCAACAGGCATACCATCAGGAAGGACACATTTTAGCATAGTGTACGGTATAGATAAACTGATCTATTTCCTTAGACATGAGCCATTTCTGTCCTTAAGGACAAGGTTAACCCTTAGAGTATGTCTACACTACTTTTTTTGTTTCAGGAGAAATATGAAAATACCACAGTGCGTTTGCATATTTCCTATGGCTTTTTTTTTCTGGAAGACGATTTTCCAATATTGGCCCCCAACTATGTGGGGGTCAAATTTCAGGAGGATATCCTATTTTGAAAGACCCTGTAAACATCATTGTAGGAGGAATAAGGAGTCTCTCGAAAAAGGGGTTTTTTTCCCCAAAATTTCCTCCTGTGTAGATGGCGAAAATACAAGAAAAGCCTCTTCCAAAAAATAAATGGAGGAAGTATGCAAATACACCACAATATTTGCATACTGCTCCTGAAAAAAAATAGTGTTGACATACCCTTATTGAGCAAAATTTTCTCTTTCTCTTTCTCTTTCTCTTTCTCTCTGAGAATCAGCTGATAGAGGATATCTACACTACACTGTTTTTTGGAAAGAGATACACAAATTGCAGGGCACAATTTGTGTATCTCTTTCCAATTTTTTTTGGAAGAGGCTTTTCTGGTCCACATTTTTAGGAAAACCTCTACTCTTTTGGAAGAGCCTTTCTTCCTCATGAAAGGAGGTTTACATGGCTTTCGAAATAGTGCATCTGCGTTTTTGAAAAAAAAAAAATTCGGAAGAACAATCTCATTCCTTGGACATGGCAGAGTTTTTCCAGAATACTGTCAAAATAGCAGCAAAACTTGTTGAGAAGAAAAACAAAAGATTGCCCTTTTAAGAACAGAGAAGGCATTGCTCTTTTAAGGCGGTCATTTTGAAGTCTGCCCCAGCCAGCCCGAGCTGCACATGTTCTGGAGGAACGGATAGACTGGCCTTGGCTGGGGGGAGGGAGCTGTGTTGCCTCGCACCCCCCCCCCTCACCTGAATTAAATAGCAGCAAAACTTGTTGAGAAGAAAAACAAAAGATTGCCCTTTTAAGAACAGAGAAGGCATTGCTCTTTTAAGGCGGTCATTTTGAAGTCTGCCCCAGCCAGCCCGAGCTGCACATGTTCTGGAGGAACGGATAGACTGGCCTTGGCTGGGGGGAGGGAGCTGTGTTGCCTCGCACCCCCCCCCCTCACCTGAATTTC